TCTGTCATATGCCACCCAAGGTGCATTCTATGCACTAATGGATGACCACCAGGTGTTTGCACACTACCTGCTGGCCACCTTCCCGCGCAACGCGCTGGTGCCGCCCACCACCGGCTTCCATTGCCGGCTTTACTGAAGTGTACTTGATGTCAGCCCACAGCTTGCTTTTTGTCCCTAATGCTTAATGTGTCAGATCCTTTCTTGAGATGGTTTCAAAATTCTTTCTTAGAGGGACCCTTTTTACAACAGATGACATGCGGTCCAGCCCTGTGCCGTGTTTGTAGTTATGTGCGTGCCTTTTGCAGCCACTGTGTCAGCACCTCCCATGGAGTGCCTTTCTTTCCCTCAGAGCGGTGGTCTCATGTTTGCCCTCTTGTGCTTGGCCACTCTCACTCAGCACATTCGTGTCATGAGGCGTCTCGTGTTACAGTGATACATTCATCAGATTCCACTTTGTGTGTATGCCAAATACACACCATGTTCATACCACTGTTGTTCACAATCCCCCCAGAGAGGGAAGCAACCTCAGTGCCCATCCGTGGAAGATGTGTAAAGGAGCTTCAGTTCATGTATTTTGACGGACTTTCACAGAAGTGTAGTGTGGTTATTTTGTGTTCACTCTGTCAGTCATTGTGCCGTGCCCTGCTGGTCTCTCCTGGTGGATTGTGTAGTTTTCTTGATCAGAGGCTAACGTTGCCTCTCCTGCCTTTTCAGCTTGCCATTTGCTTTGTATATATATCTATATCTATATCTATCTATATACATATATTCCATAAATTTCTTTTTAGTCTATGTTTGTCTTGGTGTCTGCGGTGTGTTTATTGTAGGCAGCATGTTGATGGGTTTTGTCTTCTTATCCAGTCTGCTGCTCTGTGCCATTTGTGTGTTTGAGACCAGCCCAAATGTCACGAAGCACTGACGTCGTCTCAGTGTTGCTGTTCTTCCTTCCTGACCACGAGGACCATTGTTGTCTCTGCTTCTCGACTGCTCCACTTAGTCCACGACAGTCAGCATGACTGATGGGGCAGAATTGATTGGGGCCATTTTTCTGTTATTTTGGTCATTTTGTTCTTCCTTCCTTAAACATGTGTGCTAAGTTCCTTTTTTGGATTTTCATCCCAGTTTTTAATTATTACTGTTCTATTGCATAGTAAGTTTTGTGAGTTACCTCTTTTTTATCTTGGTGAGTTTTAATTTTTTTTTACCATATTATTAATTCCTTTTCAAGTTTAAGACAGCTTGTTCTCTCTTGTGAATGATTTGACTGCTCCATTTGAGTGTTATGCATGGACACTTTTAATGTATTTACTTTGTAATTGTTTTGTTGTTAAATGACCTCTCTGGCTTCCTGTTTTCATTATTTTAGGCTTGTTAGATTTTGCATCTAACTGGCTTGATTTCTGGGTGGCAATATTTTCTATGTTGATTTCAGGTTGATAGCGGCTGTTGTTGATTCTCTGTTCCAAGAAACCACGTAGCATTTTTTTGTAAGTTTTGTGTTGCTTTCATAAATTCCTTTAATTTCTTCTGATCTGAAAATGCCCTTATTTCTTTTCCTACTTTGAGGGATCGTTTTGTTAGACACAGAGTGTGCTTGGCAGTTCTTCTCCTTCAGAGTGTTGTGCATGTCACCCCATCACACTACTGCTGTGTGGTTTTTGCTGAAAAAACCAGAGCTTATTTGTCATCGTTCTCCTTTGTAAGCAGTGCATGCCCACCCCAACTGCTTGCTGTCAGAAGCATTCCTTTTCTTTGATGTTAGAGTTTGATGATAGTGTGTTGCGGTGGTTGTGTGTGTGTCTGTCAGTTTAGGGTTCTTTCAGCTTCTTGAGTGGCTGTTTTCTTTACATTCATGAGGGTGCAGGAGTTTTTCCCCAGTAGTGTTTAGGCTATTTTCTTTGTGGACCCTCTTGCTTCTTCCTGGTCTGGAACACCAGTGAAGCTGAATTATTGCTTCCCATAGTGTCCCTGTAGTTGTTTTATTTTCTCAGACTGCTTTGCTCTTTATTGAGTGATGTTCTCAGAGATTGGAATCTAGAGATTTGTCTTCACGTTCACCAATTTGGCCTTCCATTGCTTCAGTTGTACAGTTTTTCTTTTATTTATTTTAATCATTTTATTGGGGGCTCGTACAACTCTTATCACCATCCATCCATCCATCCATCCATCCATTGTGTCAGCACATTTGTACATTTGTTGCCATCATCATTCTCAAAACATTTGCTTTCTACTTGAACCCTGGGTATCAGCTCCTCATTTTTTCCCCTCTCTTCCTGCCCCCACCTCCCTCATGAACCATTGCTAATTTATGGGTCACGACCCCTTTAGGGGTCAAATGACCCTTTCATGGGGGTCACCCGATTCATAACAGTAGAAAAATTACAGTTATGAAGTAACAACGAAAATAATTTTATGATTGGGGTGGGGTCACCACAATATGAGGAACTGTATTAGAGGGTCGTGGCATTAGGAAGATTGAAAACCACTGTTTTAAAGTGTTGTCTAATTCTATTATCTAATTAGTAGTTTTCTGTTTCTATTTGATTTTTTATGGTATGGTTTCTAGTTTTTCATTGATGTTTTCCATAGTGCTCTCCATTTTTTTCCCTCTCGCCTGAAAGCACCTGAAACTCATTCTTGTGAACTCCTTTTCTGGTCGCTCTGATGTCTATTCATCCTAAAGAGAGGCTTTTAGACTTGTAAAACAGATGGGCACCTCATTATGGCAACTTAGCTGGCTTCTAAGGAGTCCCGGTGGTGTAGTGGTTTTGTGTTGGGCTGTCCACCACAAGGTCAGTAGTTTGAAACCATGGGCTGGAGGACATTGTGCAGAGTGAGAGTGGTCAGTCAGAAGAGGACACACACACCGAGCACGGTTATAAGAGGTACAGTCTCAGGCACCCAGAGGGGCGTGCTCCCCAGTCTTAGGACTTGGTGACAGTGAGTTTGGTTTTGAGTAGCCTGTCCCTTGTGAGCGGAGATTGTTGTCTGAGAGATACTGTGAAGTTTGAGAGTGGCTGGGAATATGGGACAGCTGACTCTGTCAGATGGTATGAGAAAGGCATCGTAAAAGCAGAAAAGCAAATGATAGCAACAATAACCCAAACTGAAGATTGTAAAATGCCAAATTTATCTTTGCAACCAATCACATGAACAAGAAGCCCCCCACACCCACCCTGCACACTTGTAACCAACAACTACCTTCACTTTTTCACTCAACAGTGTGTGCTACTCAAAATGTTCCCAAGAATGTACAGTGAGCTTGTATTCGCCTGCATGAGGGTGAAACTCGGCATCTTTTCTGCCCTGTACTTTGTGTGACATTAGGGATAATTCCCCTTCCCTTTTGTGCCCCGTGTGTCTCCGCTGGAGGTTTATCAAAACATCAGAAGAAGAGAACCACAAGAAACAAAAACTGCTACGGTTTCTCAGATAGATGCACTAGTCTGTTTAAGTTATTGTAGCTCTATAGTATGTTTCCTAATAGGGATGCTTGAGTTTTCGTCAATTAATATGATCGTTCTCGCCATAATCCCTTATGTGATGTAGTCTAGTACTAGACTCTATGCCTGTGGCTCTAATCCCCTTTTGGAGGGAGTTCTCTGTTATATTAATGGACTGGATTAGAGTGGCATTAATACCTGAATTTAATAGAGCATGTGAACCAAATCATGCCCTTTGATTCCTTAGGGGACGTATTTAGACTGTACTGGAGGGTGTGACTTTAGACACTACCCTTTGTTTCCTAAGGGGCATGGTCTTATAAAGACAATTAAAACATACCTCCATCAAAGCCATTCCTCTGTTTTCTAATGACTGAGCTTTGGGAGAAGCAAGAAGCTCTGCTTTGACTTTTGGACATTTTTGGCTTTTGGCTTGCTCTCTCCCTGACCTTCAGATTTAGGGCTTACCAGCACCTACAGCGTGTATTCTTAAAGTTCCATGAGTTTTGTGGTACATTGCATTGAATCACAGAATCCAGGGACATGAGATAATAGGCTCAAGGGAAGAGGGTGGGTGGATGGAATGGAATAGCATCTCGGAAGAGCTGGACATTTGGGACATCTTTAATTTCCAACTCCTTGGGACTAGTCTGGCATTAATTCTTCTAAAAGAAGTTATTACCTTTTGAGAAATGGTGTACGAATGCGCTTTACACAATTGATGTGTGTATGGATTGGGATAACAGTTGTATGAGCCCCTGGTAAAATGTTTAAAAAAAAAAAAAAGAAGTTATTACCACAGCATTGTCCTACTTTGTTCCTTCTTTTCATATTGCTTCGGTTTTATTTGTATATTCTTGCAGTCCTATAAACTTCTGGATTTACTTTTCTGCATCTTCAAAAGTAGCTGCTGGAGTTTTATTAGGGATGCCAGTTGCACTATTGGCACTTGCTCATGTTCAGTGTTCTAATCCATGAACCCAGAATGCATTCCCGTTTAGACCAAAAACAAAGCAGAGAACAGCTGGCTTTGAGTTGATTCTGGTCCATGGGAAACTTTCAGTCAATCTCTCAGGCCGCCGGGCCAGTTCTGACTCTGTGACCCTGTAGGACAGAGTAAAACCGTTCCTTTGGGTTTCTGGACACTTTGTCTTCCACAAAGTGGCTGGTGATTTTGGATTGCTGCTCTGCTTGGTATAACCCACTGTACCCTCAGGCTGCCTTTCAGTCACAGGTAGCTTTGGGAAGGAATCTCCAGACCTTTCTTCTGAGATGACATCCATCCACTCCATCTTCCAAATGTCTCTGCATAATGAATTTCTTACAGTTCTTCAAGTACAAAACTTCACCTCCCTGGTTCAATTTGTTCCCTGGTGTTTTTCCTTTTTAGACACTATTGTCAGTGGAAAGCTTTCTGTAAGCTCCCTGGAAAGTTCACCGTTGGTCTGTGGAACTGCAACTGACTTTTGAGTGTTGCACTGTTTGGAGACCTTTTCTTCCCTCCTTGCTCACAAAGATCTCCTTTCATTTCTGCTCCCAGGTGTGGTGAACAAAGAGATAGTCTAGTCTGGGTCTCTGGAGACCAAGGACAACCATCTTGCACATCCCTGACATCACTGGTAAGAGTTTTAAACTGCTCTGCCTGGCTGTGGACCACACACATCATTCACCTGCCTGCAAAGTGCCCAGTGGCTCTGCCTCCTCTCCCAGCTCTCTTCCTGAAGTGCTTCTTGGGCTCAGAGAGCACATTCTCCTAGACTTCCAGAAGCCGGAGCCAGGACATGGTGAGTACTCCAGAGACCAGGGCACTGCAACTAGCAGCGGGGAGGCTGGATAGCATTATTGGGGGGCTGTGTGCTCTGGGCCTTCAGGCTCCTGCATGAGATTAAAAAAGCACTGAGAAGCGCGCTCTCTGGCATCACGAGGCCCTGTCCCGTTGTCACTGGCCCTTCCTGTACACATCTGTGAGTTTTCAAGCCTTGGATGCCTGTGGTCACTTTCCTTAGGTGACTCCCAGGGCTGGCATCGTGAGGTGTTCACGTCCCCATCCGGGGCCTTGGTTCTCTGTGTTGACTGGCAGAGCCTGTGTCCCAGACTGCTGATGGGATGGCTCTCATAGAGGAGGCCGAGATAAGGTCCTCCAGAGTCCTTCTCATCCCACTTCTGCAACTCGTTCACAGGCCTCTTCTAAAGCTGTGGTTCCACCTCTCCCACTGTGCCACGGGGCAGAAAAGAGGAGAGAGTTAATACCCCAAATGGTAACTGTTTCTGGGCATGTACGTGGAACTTGGTTCTCTCGTGAATTCTTCAATGAAGTAAGTGTCAAAGGACAGTGAATGAGGTGGGTCATGTAAAAGGTCTCCAGATCTCTTGTACAGGGTGCTTTTGCCTTGGGGATTTCAAATGGGTGAGACACTTGCTTTTCCACTGTAGTTGCTATACCTCCCACCCATTTCTACTTATAACTGGTATTAAGGCACTGTGCTCTTCAACTCTGCACAGTCTGGAGTGGAAATTTGTAATAAAGTCATCTTTTCTGTGAGGATGGCTCAACATTTGAGATGGAGTATTTAACTTCTTGGGTTTATACTTTTTGTTAGAAGAAATCTTCTAGACCAGCTTGTGTTTCTACTTAGAAGCTGTCAGTGTAATGACTACTGTGTTAGTCTGGGTGGACTAGAGAAACAAATCCAGAGAGATAATCTTATGTGTGCCGGACAGAACTTTATATCAAAGAGCAATTGTGCATTAAGAAAGCATCCCAGCCCAGTCCAGATCAAGTCCGTTAGTGCGCTTTAGCCCACATGTCCAATACCAACCTATAAATTCCTCTTCAGACTCACGCAAAACATGCAACAATGCTGAATATAGGTAGGTCACAGGCCAGTGGCTGGAAAGTCTTGTGGATCCAGTGGCAGTGGAAGCATTTCAGCGCTGGCAGGGGTCTCCATGTGGCTCTTCCAGCTCCAAGGTCTGGCTGCATCAGTGTTTCTATCAGGCTGGTCATCAGTAGCAATGTGTCGCAGGGAGTGAGTGTGTGTCTACCTCCAGTGAGCTATCTATCTCCGTAGCGCCTCCAGATGAGGTCAACAAGCTGCGACCTGATTGACAGCCTAACCTCCACCCCTTCACTCTTAAGTCTCAAATTGACAACAGGTTATGTAACTACCACAGATATTAACTACTCAGACACAGAGAGATGCCTATTTGAACCAGTGTAAGAATAAAAATTCAAAAGTAAAACACAAAGTAGGTCAGAATTTAAACTTGGTTTATAATTAATGTGTATTCTTGGAGTTTTTGTAACATTACATAGAAAATTTACATTCTTACAGTTCTGCTGATAATTAATTTTTGTAGTTTTGACCATTTTGTCAAAAATGGACACTTTCATTTCATTCTTTATTTTGCTCTTGCAAAGTTCACTCCGGTGAATATAAATGTGATACCAAGATCGACTGTCAAAAATTTATATATCGAAGCCTTCTGACAAGTTTAACCAAAATGAAGGGGTTGTCTTATGACTTTCTAAAATTGTTATTTGGAAATTGTACATTTCTTATGTTTTATGTCATTCCTTAAAGCCCTTACTGTCAACTGTACCATAAACAAGTGCTCAAACTCCATGTGTGGTTTAAATAACAGGAACCTAAGTTTCTGCTGATAGGTAGACAGCATCAGTTTTACGGCCTCCCAGTGTGTTCTACCCTGGCCTCATCTCCTTTCTGCTTGGAGAAGATTGACTGTGTCCATCGGAGGGGTTTATTACTGGTGTAATTATTCTTGTTCTTAGTATAGGTTTGACCCCAAGTTTTTCCTCATTTTCCCTGAATGTCTGATGGCATTACACGTGCCTCCTGGCAGTTCTCCACAGATTGTTCTGCGACACTGACTGCTCTTCACGATCAACCTCCCGGTGTTTCCGTTCTACTTCCTTCCTTTTCACTGGTCTCACTTCCCTTCTCTAGTACATCTTTACGTTCTTATTTAAAATTAATTAATGAGTATTTGGGCTTGTTCAGTTAATTTTTTAATGGAGCACAGTACTTGGAGATGATATTATTTATTTTGTGAACCACAGTGTTCTTGGCTAAAAGGTGCCATCATGGGCTAGTCGCTCTTAATTCAGAGTATCTCAAAGCAGCTGTCAAGTGGACTCCTTAAGTCTCAAGTAATAGAGGACATTTGAGTTTTGTTTGTTTCATTTGTGTGCGTGTATTTCTCTTCCACATTTTCAACCATCCTGTCGAGGCCCATCTGCCGTGATCCTCATCAGAATGGTCTGCTGCAGCCAGCACCATCTCCTCCTGCTCTCCTGGTCTCAGGGCCGATGGAGTCAGGCTCTGGTCGACCGCTGGTCTCTGTGTGCTCGTCTCCGAGTCCTTGGCTCCCTTTTTTTTCTGTTTAGCACCAGATGCGTAAAGACCAGTAGTTGTATCATGAATGGCCACTCAGAGGTTTGTAAGACCCCACCTACTCCTCATTAAATTAGGGTATAGAACATAAAAACTTTAAAACTATATGATGACTGTTGATGAAGATGTTCCACAAAACTGTGGTCCTAGTTCTTCAAACAGAAAAAGCAATCCCAAGAGGTGCTAGTTACAGCTTTAATAGGCAAAAGCTGACCATATTGAACTCCGAGTACTGAGGTCACATGGTAGAGTGTCCTCAAAGAGGAGAAAGATGTACATCTGCTAGGGTCAGGAAGACGTCATTTGGGCGTGGTCTGTACAAGCGTCAGGGTTCAGCACACAGTCTTTTAAGTTTGAGCTCCATGAATCCTGCCTTGATGGGAAGATCAGCAACACATTTCCATGTGTTGCCTGTAGCGGCCATAAAAAAAGCAGCTATTTTGAAACTCAAGAGAATTATATTCTCCTTCACAAAGCTTTCTTCAAAAGGAACTGTTTCACCCAAATCTTAGCAGACCTGCATTAGTGACATGCACAACGCAGCTCCATCCAGATGACTTGTCTCAGGGGAAGGGGAAGGGGTGGGGTGGGGGCCGATTAGAGAAGCACTGGTGAAGGCACTTTCCAGGTGCACTGGCTCAGGGAAAGGGTGAGTCCTGACTGGGAATGCAGCATGCCATCAGACTGACAACCCAAGTAGCAGTATTCATGGGAATATTCAGAGGTTATGGGTTATATTTTTAAGCGACCACTAGAAACAGGACTACGGGATAGCTGGCCCAAACCATGGTATTTTCAGTTGCCTTTCATATGCCTGGGGAAACTGGACAATGAATAAGGAAGACCTGAGAAGAATGAGTACCTTGGGATTATGGTGTTGGTGAGACATATTGAATATGTCATGTACTGCCAGAAGAACTAGTAACTCTGTGCTGGAGAAAGTATCAGGATACTCCTAGAAGTGAGGATTGCAGGGCTTTGTCTCATGTACTTTGAACATGTTCTCAGAAAAGACCAGTTCCTGCTGGGTTGGAAAAAGATGAAGGCTTTCAATGAGAAGGATTGGCACAGTGACTTCAGCAATGGGCTCAATTGTGAGCATGAGCAGGGCCTAGTAGTGTTTTGTTCTGTTGTACATCGGGTTGATCTTAATTAGAGTCACCTTGGTGGCCCTTCGCAACAAAGCAGCAGAAGGAAATTTGTCAACAGTCTTCACAGCAAGGTAGGACCTTGTCCTGAGTATACTACAGTAAGTGAGCCCTGCTGGTTCTGACAATAAGCTTGGTTGTGCAGACATACCAGCCACTCCACAGGAGAAGAATTCAGAGGCTGCCTACTGCAGCTTAGAATAGACCGTAGGAGAGCACAGAACCCTGTGTGAAAGGAGTATTTTCCAAGCTGTCAGCCTCACCCTTCCTTTTACACATTTGAGTACTTGGTGGCTGCTGAACCAGAGATGTGGATGTTTCAGGACTCAGTGGCTGTTGAGGACGTGGCTGTGGACTTTTCCCAGGAAGAGTGGGCCTTGCTGGATCTTGCCCAGAGGAAACTCTACAGAGACGTGATGATGGAAACTTTCAGGAACCTGACATCAGTAGGTATGGATGACTTATTTATTTAAATTAGGTTGGGGTTGAGTTACTTCATTAAAAAATAAGTAATAATGATAATATTGATTTATTTCCACTCCTTTACTACCCCACTCTTCTACGTCCAGTTTTTCCATAACCATCAGAACCTGCTCCTTTTAGTATGAAAACAAATTTTCTTTTCAACTTTTTCTTTCACAATAGCGGGCTTGTTCTTTATGTTGCTTTATATGATTGACAAGCTTTACTCAGGTTAATGTCTTCCAAATTTATCCACGTCATGAAGTGCTTCACAATCTCATTCTTCTTCTTCCTGTTTTAATGCATTGTTCAATGGAAATTTTATTTGTCCTGTAAACATCATCAAAATCATAATAAAAATTAAAAAATAAAAGTTTATTATATTATTTTGTTTCTATTTTCCTTCCACTTTAAAAATATATCAAGAAGATGAAACGTAAAAAAAAATTTTTTTCACTGTGTAATTCCTTTATTTCTGCATATTAGTGCTTTACCAACACCACAGCCATAAATAACACAATCCCAAGTACTGTACATTTAGTTTGGGAGATCACAGTCTACAGATTCTTGTTAGACAAGATTAACCTCTTTCAAAACTTAGCAGTTTATAAATTCACATAAATACAGAGGTTGATGCAACTAAACAAAAACTTCGTCTTTTTTTAAGTTCTCAGATGATAACTTGTAATGCAGGTTATGATCACCTGCCCCATGATCACCAGTAGTTATGGTTCGATTTAACGACATCAGTTATAAACCTTTTTTTATCCTTAAAATATGGGAATTACAATTTCTTACCAAAGGACTTGGGTTTTCCAATAAGAAGATGAAACTCTTGAGGCTTTCATTTTGGCTAACATGTTTCAAAGATTCATCCATAGGTTTTCTTTTTTTAAAGAAAATTATTTTGTTGGGGGCTCCTAACAGCTCTTAAAACATTCCATACATCAGTTGTATCAAGCATATTTATACATATGTTGCCATCATCATTTTCTAAACATTTACTTTCTATTTGAGCACTTGGCATTAGCTTTTCCTTTTTTCCTCCCTTCCCCTCCTTCCACCCTTTTGACCCCTTGATAAATTATAAATCATTATTATTTTCGTATCTTATACCGACCGCAGTCTCCCTTCCCCCGTGGTTTCTGTTGTTCATCCCCCTGGGGTGTGTGTGTATGGGGGTGTTTATGTGTCAATCATTGCATTTGGTTCCCCATTCTTTTCTTTTTTAATTAGAGAATTACATAATATGCAAGGGAATTTTTAATATTGTAGTTTCATTTCATTTAAAAAAAATCATTTTATTGGGAGCTCATATAATCCATACATCCATCCATTGTGTCAAGCACATAAGTACATTTGTTGCCATCATCATTCTCAAAACATTTGCCTTCTACTTGAGCCCTTAATATTGGCTCCTCATTT